ACAGCTTCTAGAGGGTGTTTTGAAGAGACTTAGGAAGGGTTAGCTGCCATAAGCTCAATATGAGTCAGCAGTGGGATCCAGAAGAAAAACTGGTAATAGCTAATATTCATCAAGGCTCAGAATAAAGAAGACTTTTCTAACATGGTACTCTTGAGACATTTCAATGAAATCACTTATTTTCTAACTACAAGCAGCCAGAAGGAGCAGACAGTAAAACACAGATAGCTTAGACATAGAATATAGACTGGTTAAGAAGTATAGTGAAAGCCTTTCACTGGAAGTGATAGTGTAATATTGTTTGAGAGCCATAGCTCTAACAGGTGTGCAGAGCACAGATTGGAGTGATGAATGTGAGCTAAGAGGAGGTAGGTACTACATAGGTTGTGCCCTGGCAATTAGAGGTTCCTTTCCTATGCCTTTCTTTGGTCCATCGACCCATTCTTCAGTGTGTTAAGAAAAAGGTGGTTGTTGCACATATTTCTTTTCTCCTTCTTTTTTTAAAAAATGGTACTGAGACATTGAGTAGATCAGTGACGAGAGCCATTTTCAGTTTCTCTAAGGAAAGGTATTAACATTGAACTGTAATACATCCTCTTGTCTTCTCAGTTCATTTACCCACAATGAATGGCTGAGATCTCACTATCAATCTGCCTTTCGCAAGAGCCATTCAATTGGAAATCAGAAAAGAACAACAGAAAAAAACTGAACAGGATGTGTAACTCTCAGGACGTCTGCTCTCCAGAGTCCTAGGAAGTGAGGCCAAGGGTTACACTCTGAGACTGGGGGTTTTAAGAGGCATCCCATGTGATGTCTCTATTACAGAAATGTTTGATTCGTAATAATAATACTGTTAACATTTGTTATGTGCCAAGAGTAAAATAGCTTACATAGATGATTGTGTTTTTTGAAACCTTCAGTAAACTATGTTTCCCCATTTTACAGAGGAAATTGAGTCATTGAGAGAGGGAGTGAGACTTGCCAAAGGCCACACTGGTAGTCAGTGAAGAAAAATGCATTTGAGCCCACAAAGTCTGGCTTCAGACTCTGTGTTCTTAACCACTATGCTACATTCTGTTTCTATATTGTGCAAAAGGAAAGGTGAGGATGTTATTTCACAGTGATTTTGGGAAGAAGCTCCCTAGAATTAGATGGTGGAAGAGATAGTAAGGTGGTCTATGCTGCATCATGTGTGAGGCTCCCTTCTTGGTCCTTGGCTAGCTGTATCAGATAGGACACAAAAGAAGTAATGTTAAAAAAAAACAGCGATCCATTTCTCTCTCATGTGAAAGAAGTATGTATTATGAGGTTTATGGCTGGTATGATGGCCCCATGGTCATCAGAAACATGAGCGCCCTACAGCTAACTGCTATCCTATACCTAGGGTAATAGCCTTGTCCTTATGGTCCAAGATAGCTACCAGAGGTTCGGCTATTATATCCACATTCCAAGCATCAGGATTGGCTAAAGAAGGGTATGTTCTCTTCCTTAAAGGTGATTTCCCAGAAGACCTACCTGATAGATAGAGCAGGAGGACCATCATCTTAGACAAACACCGCCACTTTAAGTTCCAACTCCCTTTCTAGTCTGATGCATTTCAAGGAAATCATTTATTTTCTACCTATAAGCAGCCAGAAAGAGCAGACAGGTAAACACAGATATGACAGCTCAGACACAGGAGGTTGGGGAAAAGTCTCTTGGATAACTGCCAAGAGACAATTAACCTCATATAGTGGGCCCCAGTAAAACAGTGGGCCTTAATAAGTGTATTCCTTTCCCTTCAGGTGCTCTAAGATAGGGAAGCTAAAAGCAAACTCAGGATATTCCTACAGCTGCAGAAAAATGTATGGGAACAGACACAAAACTGTCCCTCCCATATAAAAACAAAGAGAGACACAGAAGCAGTCCAAGCTTCTAATAAGCTCTCCCACCCTGAATCCTTAAAAACTCTTAGTCTGTAAGAGCATGGCTCTGACCTAACTCGGCCAGCTGCCCCTATCCGGTTTATTCAAAATAAACCTGCCCCTATTGACTGAAAAGCCATCATTCGTGTTTCCCTCCTCTTTCTTTAATTCTTACACTACAGAACACTTCTATTTACATATCAATGTACAAAACTTACTTGCATAGTCATTTCTGCTGAAACAAAGGATAGGAAGTATAGTCTTTTACTCTAGGTGGTGTGGGTTCCCATCTGAAAATCATCACTCTATTACTAAGGAGGTAGAGAAGAGTGGATATTAAGATTGGCACCTAGCACATTGGTTCTCTGGCACATTGGTTCATTCAACTTGTACTCTTGTGTTTTCACAGTGACTACAGATACGTGGCAGCTGCTTTGGCTGTCATGAGAAATGTGACTCAACAGATCAACGAACGCAAGCGACGTTTAGAGAATATTGACAAGATTGCTCAGTGGCAGGCTTCTGTCCTAGACTGGGAGGTAGGAAACTTACCAACCAGGGTATTGGGGAATCTGAATAGCTTGGCAAAAGCTTCCCACCTTAGCCAAGTATAGGTGAAGAGGAATTAGATTTGAAGAGCAACAGGAAGGATTTAGATTAGACTCAAGGTAAAATTTCCTGCTAATGAGAGGTGTTGGATACTTGAATAATATTTTAAGAAGATTGGAGAAATTTTTGTGATGATACCTCATTAAGAAAAGAAAGGTCCATTTCTTTAGGTATTGCCAGGGAACAATTGGGTTGACTCAGTAACCTTTCAAAGCTCTGTCTGGATTTATGACCAATAGATTCACACTTAGATAAGAAGTAGTATATACTAATTTACTTCCAGACACAGAATACGAGACTGGTTCTCTTGTTCCCAGCCATTCAGGACAGCCCACATACTGTTTTTTTATAGATGATATTACCTCACCCTGGCACATCTATTAGGTCTCTCTATTAGGCCTATAAACTCTAGGCCACAACAATCATCCGTGCCAAATCCACAGTTTTATCATCTGTTTTTAAAATAATCCTTGGCAGCCTTCCATTTCATTGCAGACAGCCGTGACTTCTCTGAATTCAGAAGGCCTTAAGAAGCTAAAGTCTTGAAAACCTTCTCTTCTAGATGCCCACCAAGAGAATCAGGAGTAATGACATTTCACATTTGTCTCACAGGCCCAGGTCATGCAATCTGATAGTCTGCTGGCTGAAATAACCAAGATGGGAGGGGCTGGACATAATACAAGGGAAGGATTAACAATCTTAAGCCTTGTGGTCACAGTATAGAGGTAGAGCCCACTCCCTATTCCACTGGCCTCAACTCAAGTGTCATCTTCAGTGATTAAGAGGTAGTATCTCTCTTAATATTTAATGTATTTTTAGCTCATTCCAACGGACCCAAGCATTGTCCTCACAAACAGCTACTTAACCAAGGCCCAGAAAAAAAATCATCTTCCTTTTATTCTGCTGCCTCTGTCCTACCTTAAAGTAGACAGCTGAAAAAGACCACAAGTGTGATTAGCTGACATCTTTTTGGGTCATAGTTGAAGGATAATGTTACCATATAAGTAGAACAGCAAGGATATTTTGATTTGTAGAGAAAGGAATTTGTCTAGATGAAGAGACCCTCATTCTCTTAAGCAGAAGCCAGCACTGGGCCAGACTTACTAGAAAATTGTGGATCTTTTTTTTCTTGTGTTGGCCTTGCTTTGGCTAGTTGCCTGATTAGAGGCAAAGGGCTGGACCAAATGACTTCTAGCAAGCCCATCAACTCTAAGACACTCTAAAATTATGGTGGATTAACTGGCCTTATTCTCTCGTTGGCAGAGTCTTTTTGTAAGAGAAGGTGCCCAGAAGCAGCTGTCTTCCTATTTTCTGGAGCATCTCCCCGACTTCCCAATGCCTAGAAGACCTTGTAATTCCCCTGTGTGCTCTGGGACATCAGTCCTTGGAGCAGGAGCCATGGGGAACCAAAAGTAGCATGAAATTCCCTGGCCTACCTTGAAAACTTCAGTAACACCAAAGTGAATAACACTGAGCTATGATTTAAAGACTTAGCATCTCAGAAGGAATTTCCTGCATGTTTGGGTGGGGCCACAAAACACAGTTCTAACAGTTTCTGCCTCCTTTGTTAGCCTGATTGATTGGTACTCTCATCTCATCTAAGCCCACACATCCTGTGTACCTTCCTGTTTAGTGAAGGCTTTCTTTATCTAAATTGACATCTTCATTCAGGTTGTTATAACAAAATACCACAGACTGGGTGGCTTATAAACAACAGAAATTTATGGTTGTGGAAGCTGGTAAGTCCAAGATCAAGGAACCAGTAGATACAGTGTCTGGTGAGGGCCCTCTTCATAGACTGTTGTCTTCTCATTGTAACCTCACATGGCAGAAGGGATAAGAGAACTCTTTGGGGTCTCTTTTATGGAATGCTGATCCCTTTTAATTCATGACAGCTTCATTCTCATGACCATCATCCCCCAAGGCCTCATTTTCAAATACCATCACAGTAGGGATTATGTTTCTCAACATGTGAATTTTATGGGGATACAAACATTCAGTCTATAGCAATTTGTAAGAAGAAAATTTCTTCATGGTCGTCTTTTCAGACTCTGAGGTCACTGTGGAACTTGACAGTTCCAGAGAAGTTGTCCTCTAGGAAGTCTTTTCTCTAGTAAAGCCTAATGGATACATTTCAGAGGCCAAGCCTAAAGTTTCTGTCGTATTTGCCATACCTGTTTTAATGACATCTAGAATATCAGAGTCACCAAGGCTCTTAGAGGACTCCCCCTACAACCCTGATGATTCTTGTGTGTAGACACGTGCACATATGCACATAAACACATACTCTCACACACTACTCTCAAAACACCTTGCACTAATGGTAGAAGACCGAGAAGCAGAGAGAGGCTTATTTCCTACCAAGGCCACACAGCAAGTCAGTGACGAAACTGGAACTTGAATCTAGTCTCCTGATTCCTTGTGTGGTGTTGTTTTCAGTAATGTACAACATATTCCTTCAGCCTTCTGCCTGTCTCTGCCCAATTGCTATTCTTTATGATACTGCAGTGACTTGCTTTTTGTATGTAATAAAGAGTCTATATCTAAATAAGGTAGTGAGACTACCTTGGGGAGGTCATCCAAATCCCAGTCAGGTGGTGGGTGAGTGCTGGGGAGTCTCACCAAGAAAGCAGTAAGACATGGATACTCCATGGCTTGATGATTATAAGGATTGGTGGCCCAGTTTTACAGGTTCCCTAGTATAGTTTTTTTGTGCATTTTACCTGCCCAAGAAGTTGACTAGGTAGGGAGAGAGATTCTGCCAGATTGCCCAGGACTGCTGTGAACAAACCATACAAATTAAAAAAAAAAAAAAAAAAAAGCCATATTTTGCTGTCTCTGCCACCCTATTGCCTCCCAGATGTTTGAATAAACAGAGTGGCTGTCAAAAGCATCTGCACAACAGTTTCAGCTTCATTTGTCAAATGAAAAAGAGGAGTCATAGGGGAAACCTTCAGAGCTGAATTTCCCTTGAAGAGGAATTTGGAGGGTAGCAAGCAGGCAATTAGTGTCTACTCAGTAAATCAGTGTCTGGCTAGAGAGTGGGAAGCTTTGCATTGTATCAAGGCCTGACCCTTCTCTTAGCTTATTCCATGAACACCTTTGGTTTCTTTGCCCATTTCTGGTTATTATCCCTGCCCTCTGCCATTCTGTGGGGACTAGAGTTTCTGAAATACCCCTCCTTTTATCCCACCCCCCATGACTCCTGAAAAACAAATGGATGAGTAAAAGTGTCAGTCATCTCTCTAAGTAGTAATCAATACATTAGAGCAGTATGCAGGAGCAGCAGGGAGAATAATCTATTCCAAGGGACTACAGTTTTTGGGAAATTTCTATTTCTAATTTCTGTGATGCTGAGGTTTGATCGAGCTGTCACTTTGCCACCTTGCACACTCATTTAATCCATTTGAAAAGAAGGGAAAAATAACATATTACTTTATTGGCCAGCTTCTTTTTAATCTTTTTTTTTTTTTTTTTTTTTTTTTTTTCTGGAAATTTGTAGCATGAGCTTAAGTACGTAGTTCATGTTTGGGAGCTTGATTATGTGTGGTTGTGATTTCCTCCTTGTGGCACCTTTTCCTGCCAGCCTGGTTGTGTCATACCCAAGGACCTGTTCAAGTTTACTATTTGATGATTGAATCCAAAGAAGTTGGAAACAAGAAAACCCAGCATGAAGAAGGTAGCAAAAGCATCTATTTAAAAGCTAAGGTAGCTTGATGAGGCATACTCCTGGGACCAAAAGATCAAATGTAGGGCTGGATGGATTTGTGCCTACCTGTCAGTAGGCAGCATTAAAAATAAACTAGTTAAAAAGTGTGACATTTCCTTTGTCCTTTCCCAGGATCTGCTCAGATTACAGCCCCACATCAATTGGCCAATATTTAGAATGGGGTGAAATCAAGCGTAATGGGGTGAATTAGAATTAGAATGGGGTGAGGCCTCTTCTCTCAGGCTTTGACCCCAAGGAAGGAAGGTGGATATGCTGGCAGGAAAGCTTTGAGTAGTTTTTGGCTGTTCATTCCATACCTATTTGTCAAACAGTATTTATTGAGTACTTAAATACCAAGTACTCTGTATCAGACCTCATTCTGGGTTCTACAAATATATCAGTGAACAGGACAAAGTTTCTACTCTCATTGATTTATATTCCAGTGGGGAAAAGAGTCAGCAAACAAACATATAATACATTATCAGGTGGATGAGCCTCTGAAGAAAAATAATGTAGGATAACAAGTTAGGGAGTAATGGGGATACTACCTGTGGAAATAACAGTTGAAAACAGATCTGTAGGAGAGGAAGGAGCAAACCATGTGGCTTTTTTGGGGCACAGAATTCCAGACAGGGGGAAGAAGAAACACAAAGTTCCTGAAATATGAGAGTGTGTGCTAAAGGAACAACATGGAAGCCGGTGTGGGCAGAGTAGAGTAAGGGAGGGAGAGAGTGGGAGCAAATGAGGTTAGGGGAGGTGACTGGAGGTCAGATCCTGTCTTCATAAGACTGATTGTTAGTTTGAATGAGATGGGGGCCACTGAGGGATTTTGAGCAAATATGTGAAATTAGGAGACTCATGTTTTGAGCATTTCCCCTCATAAGCTAGGCCCTATGCTGGGCAATGAGGATATTGAGATCAATGAGATGTAGCCTTGGACATGTAATGGGGACAAATATATTCCCAGCAGAGGTGACAGTGTGAACAAAATCCTAGAGGAAGTAAACAGAACTGAAGGCCCACGGTTGGGGATGTTGGGAAGGAATTGTACTTTTTGGGGCAAGACAAAGAGATGTATGATACAAGTGGAGCAGAGGAAGCAAGGGTGAGATCTCTAAACAATGAGAGGGCTGTCTCATTTGCATGAACTCATTTGATGCTCTCAAGCAGCCATGTGAAGTGGGTCAAACAGAAACTGTTTTAATATTCCCACTCTACAAATGAGGAAACAGATTATAAGAGTTTAGGCTAGTTTCCAACTCCAGAGTAAGTTAGTAGCAGCATTGGACTCAGAGCCCAGGTCTTTAGAGATTCTCACCTTAGAAATCTCCCATGGCAGCTTGTTGTTCCCCTGGGTTGGCGAGGGTGGGAGGAGAATGGGTGGGGGATTATCATTCTAATGTGGTTTGGTGGATAAGAGCATAGGCTTTGGAGGGATTCTGACCTAGGTTCTGCCCCTTTGGAGAAATTACTTCTAATTTCTCTGATTTTGGTTTTGGGGTAGTAACAAAACATCACTTACTGGGTTGCTACATTAATAAGAGACAAGATAGGTATAGAAACTAGGACATACACCCAAATGCCCATCGATGATAGACTGGACAGGGAAAATGTGGCACATATACACCATGGAATACTATGCAGCCATAAAAAACGATGAGTTCATGTCCTTTCTAGGGACATGGATGAACCTGGAAACCATCATTCTCAGCAAACTGACACAACAACAGAAAATCAAACACTGCATGTTCTCACTCAGGCAGATGTTGAACAATGAGAACACATGGACACAGGGAGGGGAGCATCACACACTAGGGTCTGTGGGGAAGAACTAGGGGAGGGACAGTGTGGGGTGGGGAGTTGGGGAGGGATAACATGGAGAGAAATGCCAGATATAAGTGATAGGGAGGAAGGCAGCAAACCACACTGCCATGTATGTACCTATGCAACAGTCCTGCATGTTCTTCACATGTACCCCAAAACCTAAAATGCAATAAAATATATTTTTAAAAAAACTAGGACATATAGTAATAGTCAAGGTAATTATCACTTACGTTGAGCTTATAGTATGATGTGTACCTTCTAAGCACTTTGTATTTTTTAATTTAAATAATCCTCACAACACACAAATGAAGTGGGTACTGTTATTATCCCCATTTTAATGATGAGGCAACTGAGTTATAGAGAGACTGTGTGTGTTGCTCAAGGTTAGTCAGCTTGATGAGCATAGAGGAATATTATTTTAATTTCTTTTTCTCCTTGGTGGAGTTACATATTGCAAGTAATTAAAATCGAATTGAGGCTGGGCATGGTGGCTCATGCCTATAATCCCAGCACTTTGGGAGGCGTAGGTGGATGGATTGCCTGAGGTCAGGAGTTTGAGACCAGCCTAGCCAGCATAGCAAAACATTATCTCTACTAAAAATATAAAAATTAGCTTGGCGTGGTGGCACACGCATGCCTCTAATCCCAGCTGCTTGGGAGGCTGAGACACAAGAATCAGTTGAAGCCAGGAGGCAGAGTTTGCAGTGAGCTGAGATCATGCCACTGCACTCCAGCCTGGGCGATAACAGGGACACTCTGTCTCAAAAATAGAAACAAAAAGAATTGAGATGCCCTTGGCTGGTGGAGTGGATGGACCAAATAATACTGAGCAGCCCTCCTGGTTGTATCATCCACATTTAGTAAATGATATATTTAAAAGTCATTCTGGCCATCTTCTTATGGTATTGGCTCATTTATGGCTTTGACTTCAGACATATTCAAAGTGGACTATAGCACATCTTCCTAGCCTGAATCACGGTGGGACCCACTCTCAGCTTCCCAACCCTCCAGCAGGAAATCGCTGTACTGCTCCCCAACTCTGGTGGCTTTCTTTCCCAGTACCAGGCCACCAGAGGTTCTGTGCTAGTATGTCAGCCCCTCTAGAAGGAGTGTTTACTTAGTTCCTGGGTAATATTGAGGCTAAGCCTAGAGCCTAGAGTTAAAGCAGTATTTCTGAGCTTTTTGCAGGGGTTCTATTATTAGAAAATAATTCTACTGAATTCCCCCTTTCCTTTCCATCCTTTAGATTGGGGAAAAAATAGTATGCTCGAATACACCATTTCCAGATGCCCCTCTCTCTGGCCTACTACCCTGCCTGATCTGTGTTTTCCTCTGATTATTTCTGGGAGATGTAAAGGTCTCCATCTCTAACCTTGCCTTGAAGCTTTTGAGTGTAAGGCAGAGATCTTAGCATCAAGGTCTCATCTCCGAGACCATGAAGATCATCCTCATACACTTCATTTAACATCTGGGAAAACTGACACCTAGAGAGAGAGGAAGGAACTGGTTCTCTAATGCCTTTTTGCCCTAAAGACAGTATAATATAATGCAAAGAGTGAGCATACTCTATGGAGACTGGAGTTGGGTCATGGACCTGTAGCTAACTAGTTGGGCAACTTTGGCTTATCACTTGATCTTTTTGTACCTCAAACTGTAAAATAGGAGCAAAAATATCTACTTTCCAGGGCTATTGTGAGGCTAAGATAAGATGGATTGAAAATATCTGGCACATTGTCTGACCCATATAAGTGCTCAGGAAATGTTAATTCTTCTGTGTCTTGGGACACTACTCTTTGTCCCTATCTTCACATAGGCCCTGGAACACTCACCCCTGTGCCCATGACTTCGGTGTTGGTTTACCTTGTGTTTCATGAGTTTTGAGCATACCTGCATTTATCTCCTCCATGAAGATGTAAGCTTCTTGAGTACAGAGGCCAGGTCTACCTTGACATCTGACACACACCCACAACATACTTCTGACCTATCAGAGTTGCCATAAAGAATGGATAGGAGTTGGAAACTCTGTAGAATTGAATTAGCCAGGAGTTAGGTGTCTTGGTGCCTTTTTGTGTCCGACTCTATGTAGCAAGAAGGAGAAGTAATTCTAAGCTCTCTGGATAACAGACCAAGGAAGCATGTGGCAGTTAAGTTTCTTATTTAATCAGTAGACTTTAGTAAACTGAGAGAAGGAAAAACAATTTTAAGAGGGTGAGTGGGTTCTCTTTCTTTCCCTCTGTTATCATCTTCCTTCTTGTCTTCCCCTGTTTCCTTCTACTCATGTGGGAAGCAGTGAGACCCAAGCCTATTCTTCAAGTATTAGAGACTGAGAGACCAGAGCAGGGACTGAGACTGGAACAGAAAAAGAGATTTATAGAGAAGAGAGATGGAGAATTATATCTAATTATCTATCTATATCTGTCTATCTATTTATCTGTCTATCTATCTATCTATCTATCTATCTATCTGGAGAGAGAGAAAGAGACAGAGACAGGGAGAGAGAGAACTTATAGAAGCTGGTACTTCTAAGACCAGAGGATAACTGATGTTGAGAAGCTGTAGTAGTCCTGGGTGGTGGGGCACATTTGGCCTTGGGGTAAATAAGAAAATGGATCTTCCTAGCTCAGAGAGCTGTAAAGCTTTTTCAGGAGTCCCAGGAGTCCCTGTCTCCCTCTGTCTCTACCAGGGCCTTTCTGGCCTCTTCCTGTCCCGTCTATGCCCAGCCTTGGGTGCCTCCAGGAAGGTGATGGTGCCATCCTCTGCCTGGCTGCCTCTCATCATCGCATGTCCTTCCCAGGGCGAGGACATCCTAGACAGGAGCTCGGAGCTGATCTACACTGGGGAGATGGCCTGGATCTACCAGCCCTACGGCCGCAACCAGCAGCGGGTCTTCTTCCTGTTTGACCACCAGATGGTCCTCTGCAAGAAGGTAACCCTGCCCCCTTCTTCCCTGAGGGAGATGGGTACCTAACGGGGTACCAGACCCTCATCTTCATTATCCTCAAGGTCTCAACAAAGTGGGCAAAAAGTGAGGGGGGGAAACAGACAGGAGATTGGCAGCAATTCTGTATCGGGAACACTAATGTGGCACTAATGTCACAGGCAGGGTTGGCTTATGGGCAGCAAAAAACTCTGAAGTTGGTACATTTTATCTTGGTATTTTCTTTTTTTTGCCCTTTGCCCTCATGACCCTGTGGTGTTCCTTCTCACTTTCTTCTACCCAGAGCTGCTGGTCTGCACCATTTTTTAAAAATATTGAAATATGTCTCTCTTAGTTGGTAAATA